TCTATTCTATTCTATTCTATTCTATTCTATTCTATTCTATTCTATTCATTTCTAATCTAATTTCTGTTCTATATTATTCTATTCTATTCTATTCAAGCATTTAATTCTCCGCTTGACAGCGTCTCTCCCTTCGTCCCAGGAAAACGCTCACTTCAGCATCTCCGAGTCACTCATTGCGGCCATCGAGCTGATGAAATGCAACATGATGAACCGTCAGATGGAAGAGGAGGAAGAGGAAAGCGACAAGGTGATACAAGACCTGAAGCAGAAGATCCGTATCCGCCGGCAACAAATCCGGACCCGCTACCTCCACCCAGCATGCCAGGATGTGGCTTCTGACAGTGAGTGCTTCCTGTCCTTTGGAAGGTTGCTCCGTTGAGATCCCAAAGCCGTCAGTGAGACCGAAACTAGGTTTGGGATCTGAAGCGTCTCGTCCAGCTTTTCTCAAGCTTAGCAAATTTTAACACCTATTTAAGAACTTCAACTCTGCAGCGTTGACTTAATGTAAAGAGTAAAAAGGTAAAGTCCCAAAGGGGCTTTTTTTTCAGGAGGCAACTGGATTTTCTTGTTTTTTTCTTTGAAGACATTTTGCTTCTCATCCCAAGAAGTTTCTTTAGCTTTAACGTCAACTAAAAAAATACTTATTTGGTCTTTTTAGTGGCCAGCAGAAAGGGAGTGGGGAAAGTAGGGCATTCTTTAAATGCTTCAGATAATTGCTAGGCAGCCGAAACTGTTGGCGCGAAAGATTATTACTGGAGAGCATGATTGGTGACTCTTGGCTATGGATGTGTCCCATTGGAGAATATACATTCAGGGAGTGGGGGGAAGACCAGGGTCAAGGGTGAAATGAATGATGCGTCTTAGAGTCGGCTGCACCCAACGCCGACATGGTCACTCCTAATAAATCTTTTTTTTTTACTCTGACAGATGCGGCTAGAGACTTATGATTTGAATGGGGGTGTATTTTCGGAGCCCTGACATCTGACAGGATAGTGGGGAATGGAAGGATTTATACTCCTTGTAGACAGCTGGTTATTTGCATCCTTTTTAGAGAGCCGTTGAGGCCGCTTGGAGGTTTATCTGTATCCTCAGCGTCACCTGAGTAGTGCAAAAGGGTTCCTGTGGTCTGCAATTTTTCAAAAAATTCAAAGAGAAAACAAGAAAGTCCAGTTGCCTCCTGAAAAAGGGACAAACATGACTTGGATGACTGAGAATCTCCATAGATTCTCAAGAGTAAATAGATTTTATTCCACTAGTCGTTGCTGACTCTAGGGGCCGGTACTTATCTCTGTTTCAAAGCCATTGAGCCAGCGTTGCCCGAAGACATTTCCACGGTCATATGGCCAGCGTGACATCATAGAGCGCTGTTCCCTTCCCACCGAAGTGGTACCTATTTGCCTACTCGCATTCGCGTGCTTTCGAACTACTAAGTTGGCAGGAGCTGAGGCGAGGGCGGGTGCTCACCCCATCGCGTGATGTTCGGGTCTCGAACCTTCACTGCCTGCTTTCCAGCCGATAAGCGCAGTGTCTTTAACAGCTGGGCCCCTTTTGATTTAACGACCACAAAAAAAGGGTCGTAAAATCAGGTCCGCTCACATGGTATCTCACTTTACGACTGTTAGAACTCATGACCATAATTGCAAGGTTCAATTGTGATTGTAACTTGTCTACTTCCTGTATTGCATCCTGTTGATGATAGTTCTGGCTTGTCGGCTGCCAGAGGGGGAAGGGGAGCCTGGGCCAGCTTCAGAGCCTTTGGAAGGCTCTGATAAGGAAATGGCATCTGAGACAGAAGCAGAACCGGGGCCTTCCGTCCATCCCCAGGTGGAGAGGCAGCTGTCTTCGGGGCCTGAGCTGAGTGAGGGGGAAGGAACAGATTAGGCCCATCCCAGATGCGCATATGCCATGGAGAGGAGAGGAGAGCAGAGGAAAACAATAAGCCGGCTCTCAGGG